GATTCCCTGGGGAGTTAAGAGGGAGCTTATGGGGATTCCCCTGGGATTATTCGGGAAGTAGTCTTAAAATTCAATAATGAGTCCCTCCTTGTCTAAGAGAGTTCCTAGAGACCTGATAAAATTCCGTTCTTTCCCAGGACTACCTACCTACCATCTTACCTAATTGCCTACCTACCTACTTCCTATTTACCTATGTATCTACTTAGCTATCTATCTACCTACCTGTCTGCCTACCTAGTTATCTACCTATCGATCTAATGTTCATCTGCCTATCTATCTATACCTAGATATATCCTCATCCATCTATCTCACTAACTAACTATCTTTCTATCTATATAACTATCTATTAAATATCTTCCTATCTAATGTCTATCTAACTATATACATTTCTTGCACCCATCCATCTATCTACCAAATTTTCTATATAACTTTTGCCTAACTACTGAACCGCGTATCTATCTATTTCACTATCTATCTATTCACCTAGCCCTCCATTATCTATCTACTATCTAACTATTTAACTACTATCTATCCAGAAAGTGCCAATACGGTTTAGCAAAATAAATTGAAAGATTTTCAGATAAAACAAAACGTCTAGTACTTTTTCTCTAACCTCTCTTTTCTTTTTGTACCAACCGGACGCTTCTAGAACCAATTATGTAGATATTTTTAAAATAGATGTATTTTAGTGTATATTTAAAACATTTATGCTCTTTATAGAATCAAATCACAAAAAGAAAAACTCCCCAGGGAGTCTCTGTATGGGGATTCCCTAGGGAGTTTTTAATTTTCTCCCTACTCCCTAAAAAATGGGGACTCCTCGGAGATTAGCTTGGTGACTCCTCGGGGCTCCCCAGGGATTTCGCATTTTTTAGGGGACTCTAGAGGGGAGAATGGACTAGGGTTTTTATCCAATTTAAGTTGGTTTTGCAACTAATGTTCTATTACTATAATTAATTGTCATATATAACATAAATGTTCACAATGGTAGGATAGAAAAAGATCTTTTTGTATTGAAAATTCAATACATTAAATTCTTTTTTTAAAACAAAAGTTTTTATTTGGTTGGAAGGCATAAAAAATTCAAAAACTAACAAAAATATCGATATTAGATAGTGACTAGAGTTAACTTGTTACATGTATATATGTGGTTGATCAGTCTGACCGAAGACCTCAATTCTGTTTTACCGTTTTGCTTCTATAACATATCAGAAAAATCTGAGGATGGAGTGTGGGGAACATATGAGTTAAATTAAATAGATAATACGATCAATCTTTATTCTGCAATCGTTGAATTATTTTTTTTATAGAATCGATTACCTGATTGATTATTATCATTATTGTATTCGATAACATAAAATTAATCATCTATATGTTTTCTATGATACGAATTAGCAAAATAGTAAGATTTAAAAACAAAATAGAACGATTCATTTATTCTGGGTATTTTTTCATATTGATAATATTGTCTTCTTATTATTAAAAATATTTATATAGAGAAACGAAAAGAAAATTTATTAGTTGTTTTGTTTGGATCAATAAGTGAAATAGAATAAAAGATGACGTACATTTCCATATTTGTAAAAGTTAATAGAGATCATGCATCGATTTACCTAACTATTTATTTGGCAATAAAAACAAACCATTGCGCAGAGTAAAATTAATTAGAATCGAAATGAAATGAAGATACAGTTACAATAAAACATTTAAGTAATAAAATAAACATTTAAATAAAAAAAAATAATGAAAAAACAAAAAGAGAAAATCGCTTATATACTTTGTATTTACTTATACGAATAGATAGTTTTCTTTGATTATTTAGTTGAGAGTTATAGGCTGGTCGCTTGTCAGACAGATCCAGAAGCGTATCCAAGGGATGTTCAGGATGTCTGGACATTTTTCTTGGAGAAAAAAAAAATGCCTAGATGAGGAGTACAAGACTAAAAATCTATTCACATGACCAAGGATTCTTCGTTGTTGGCGAGCATCTCCTTTAAAAAATTTCTGGCTACGCCTCTGGATCTGGACAAGCCCCTAAACCAAAGTTAAGTCTAATGTTTTAGTCTAGTTTGATTCATTTATATTTTATCTGGTTTCATTATTAGTTTAGATCAGATCAAATTTGTTGAGCTGGATATTGTATTTTCGAAATTAAATGTTACCCATTGCAGTATTATTCGAAACTGCTTTTACATGTTCATTTCAATATAAAAGCAAATATCTTTGAATCAAATGTCAATTTCATATCATAGAACTTATATTGATTGATACAAGAAATTATTTAGATCCAAGAAAGTTTGATATGAAAAATATTGTATATGTGCTTGTACTTCTTCAGAAATTGATTATCAAATATAGAAATGTTCTTGCTTGTTGTGATAACTATCGCATATTCTTAGAGTCTTGCAGGATAAGATTTTTTCGAAGGCTATTCGCTACCCTATTCAGTAGACCAGGGTACGACTGGTACACACCTGTTCTTTATATTATTAAGAGTTTTTGGCTAAGAACTTCGAAGACACTTCTGATATAATTTTTATTTACAGGAAGAAAATGTTTGTGTTAGAGTGAAATAAAATTTTGAATTAAATAAGAATCAATATTGGACTCATGGGACAAATACTTATTGAATTATCCAAAATTTAGTATTTTGTAAAAAGATTATCGAAATTTCCGGCTACTTCAGCTATAAGAGAACGCATTATCAGCAAAAGTGACACAATCTTGTGAGAGAGAAGAAAAAATTTGTGACCATACTCTTTCTGTGATGGTACTGCGCGTTGTCACTCTTTTCATTTTCGTTTTGTTATCTCCGTACTAAGATTTGAATCCACTAGCTTATATTTTTTTAGGCACTAATCATTTTTTATCATTAAGAGAGAGATACAGAATATAAAAATAACATACATATATATATGATGTGTGTGAGTTATACAGTTATATTTCAAGTTGAACTATTTCATAATATTGTATTACACTGAAAAAAAAGGTACCGTACGGAATCTATAAGGGTTCCGAGATTTGCAACAAATTCGAAACCATTTTAGGTTTCGTACAAGTCCGGTTCTGTACGAAACCCTTATTGGAAACGCCAAAATAGGGTTTCGTACACTATTACTATACTATTAGAATGATTCATTAAAAATCACAGAACACAACTACACGTCTTCATAGACTCCTCTTAACCGTACGTGATATGAATCACGGCACAGCTATATAAATATCCACAGCATCTCGACATCGCTAACGACAGTAAGGATGCCAATAATTCCATCAACACGAATCAAGTCTCATATCATTCCCATTTCATATCCGAAGGCCACCTCCTAACTTATTAAATACTCTGTTTTATGCTTTAAAATATTTGATACAGGACCAAGTGAAATATTATCTTTTTCAGCCAATTTACTCTGTGATAAACCATTACAATTATTAATATAATAAATTAATTGCATTTTTTCTTGCATAGCTCGTACCATTATGTCATTCTTTGCTTCACACGTACAGTAGTCGAATCATACATATAATGTACTTGCCTGTGGTGTACAAAAAAAAGATGACATAAAATAGAACGAGGTCAAAAAAACATATTCACGTTAGAGATGTTATATTAGCAAAATGGACCATTCAAAAGTGCTCACTGTTCAGAATAGGTAGGTGCTCACTAGTAGAGGTTTTATTGTAAGTGCGAATTCTAGACTGTCCGGTTATATCTTTTTCTCAAAATTAACTTTATGATTGAAAGTCAACGTACTACAAAAGAAAGAGAAGAGAAACTTTAGTATTAAACTAATGCATAAAAGTTAGTGTCTTTTGAGAGTAGTACTACACTGATATTTCTATATTAGAATTAAAAATTTCGCTAATAATGCCACATCATTTTTAATAAAATAAGCTACGGAGGTTCAGCTTTATATAGATCAAGATAATGTGATTTTCTCTTTTTTTACTTATAATTCTTGATTGATTTTTAATGAATTATGTGGATATCAGATTTGACACATAACTGTGAAAATCTTTTCAACTCGTTTTCAGTACATATATATATATATATACCATGCAGTGATTATTAAATAAATAGAATAATTTCGAAGATTTTCTTTTGTTTTTATTATTATTTAAGTATTCTCAAAATGATTCGTCGTTTCTTTTTCATTCATATATAATTTTATCTATCCAAAAGTCGGTGTCTGAGTGTTGATATGGATATTAGTGAAGAGTTGGCACAGATCCACAACCACTTCCACTGCAACAACCATAACCAAATCCGCAACATTTTTTAGAATTTTAACTTATTGAGTAGATTTTCTCTATTTGGACTGTGCTTAGCATATTTGAGGATAAACAATATGATAACTTCTACAGCACAGGAAGGCTTTACAACGAATATCTTGCTTTATTCGCGTTCTTGCTGTCATTTAATGCATAAAGCGTCTTTCCCGTTTATACGACAAAAATCTGAACTCTTTGTTAACACATTACGATCCAAAAAAACAAAAAATCTTTAGAAAGTAGTTCTTCAATTTTTTTTTCTTGGTTGAGCCATAAGACTCGAGTCTTCTATTACGTCTTTCAAACTTTGTCCAAGAGGAGTCTTCTAATATGGTTGTCGTCTTCTACGGGGAACGGTTTAGACTCCAGGAAATTTTGTAAAGCTTAAATAGTAGTACATTTCTAGTTTCTGTAAGGATTAGTCGATGTATTCTTCTATGCTTTCCTATTAAGAAAAATGACTTGACCATCAACGAAACCCCATAGATTTAACATGAGACCAAATTAAGAAGGAAACGAGAGCAGCTTCTGGTTCTATCAAAGATTCCTATCTAGAAAATTCGTTTAAATCCATTGAGTAAAATTTAATTGATGAAAAATAAATTTAAATTCTTTTCAGATGCAATGAATTAGTGAGGATAGAGCGTATCCTTTTATTATGATCCAGAAACATTCGTTCATGTCTTCATAATTGTCTATTGAGGGCGCAAATGATGAGTACATTTATGTTACAAATTATTGTTAGCTTCACTATGATCGGCTTGTTTTGTCTCAGTTTTGGTAACTTCATCAGTATTACTCTTCTCAGGTCCGAGTAAAATTATGATGAGTAGATAGCAGTAGGTACTGGCTAAGAAGATAGCCATGACTTTACCATAGTCAAACTGATGCTTATTAGTGGTATTACCAGATGTTTGCAATGGAAAATGTTGTCCAGCAGTGGCTTCAATGGTTGATGAGGCTGATGAGATGAGATTGCCCAATTGATAAGAAGTGCCGACTACGAACGAGCGAAATTGCAGCGGTGCAAGTTCCATAAGATGGACGGGTACGACGCCCCAAGCACCTTGCACACACATTTGCTGAAAAAACGCGCCAGCCATAATGGTTGTAGTTCGTGGAAGTAGATAGGCTGGAATAAGAGCAGCGCCAACAATAAGAACAACGATGATTGACAATCGTCGACCGAAAAAACTCGAAAAATATCCGATTAGCGTGCCACCAACGAGAGCACCACAGTTAGCTACGACTGTGGCGATAGTGACGAGGGTGTGCGAGAACATAAGCTGAGAGGCAAGAAAGGTTGGATATAAGTCTTGACTACCATGTGATAAAAAATTGAATCCAGCCATCATTAATACAAGATAGGTGAAAATTGGCCAGTGCTGTGCAAGCGCTGGACGAATAGCGCTGAGGAATGCGCGTACAGCAGATACTTGATGATCAGCTGCAATGAAGAATTTCAAAACATTATCGGAGCTTTGAATTCTAGCTAAACTTGCCTGCAGCTGTATTCGTTTTACGTGCTTCTTTGGCACAGAGAAATGCTTGTGTCTCGGGCAAGAAGATGCGCCAAATTGCAATAAGAAATGGGGGGCAGCCTCCGAACCAAAAAAGTGCTCGCCATCCGTACCGTTTATTATTCGTAATTGCCAGATTCAAGGCAGCGGCCAGTAGGTAGCCAAGTGCATAGCCCTGTTGCAACAAGCCTGATAGAAGGCCTCGTGCAGCAATTGGAGCATCTTCAAGCGCTGTAGCAGCACAATTACCATAGATACCGCCCATAGCGATTCCGAAAAGAGCACGAACACCAATAAATTGTGCGTATGTAGTACAGAAGCCTGTGCAGATTTCGACTATGGAGTAAAAAATAATATTCACGATGAATGGCCATTTACGTCCGAATCGATCACCGGCGATTCCGAAAATAATGGCACCCACAGAACGAAGCATTAGTGTCACTGTAATGCCCCAAGTGATGTCCGATGGTAATTTATTATATGTTGTTGCAATTTCGATGATATTAAGAGTAACAGAGAAAAAATCAAAAGCATCAAACGTCCATGCAAGCAGAGCGACAAGAAAAAAGGCACTCTGTTGACGATTAAGCATGCGAAGAAGAGTGATGGGATTTTCTGGTAGGACCAAAGGAGGAACAAGACTTGTGAATCGAGTAGTAAGATATTTCAAAATAAGCATGGCTGTCACCATAAGTTACATACAGAAACTATTTTTTGAGTAGATGTGAGTTGCTGATGAAAACGTGATGTCTATAATGGGCGTCAAGGTTGTTCTCTTTTCATCAATACATGAACCAACTCAAGCATGAATATTTGTGCATTACATCTTCTCATTTTTTTTCGTTTAGACGAGAAAATTATCATGATAGATGTGTCATTTTCCAGTTAATTGAAAATTAATATAAGCTTAAAAATAAACATAAATTATCATGCGTTATATTTTTATTCTAAACACAAGTCATTCAAAAATTAATTTATTTTAAATATAAATTATTTCCATTTAAATTGTAATTTATTAAGTAATTCTATTTCTTTTTGACATTTCATATCTTAGTTAGACAAAAATGAAAAACAAACGCGTTGAAATCTTAACAAAAATAAAATCTTAAAAAACCACACATTTTTACATACTCGAAACACGTTAAAGTATCCGAACAAATATATATTCGTTCAAAAATCTAATGCGGCTTGAACACGTAAAAATGTGTAGATTTTACGATTTTATTTTCGTTATTACTTCAATGCATTTTTTCGCTTGTTTTGGTTGACTGGAATGAAATATCAAAAGAAATAGAATAATTTAATTTAATTTAACGTATAATTGAATTATTTATGAATTAAGTACAAGCAGTTTATATTTAGAATAAGTAGAACTTTTGAGAATTTATATTTCTTTTTAAATTTTCATTATGAAAAAAAATAATTTATATTGAGTTTAAATTAACAACAAAAATGACACCCTATATGTCTTCACATCTTCCCATTTTTTATTTCGTCTAAGTGAGAAAATTATCAAAATAGCATCTTTGTCTTTTCGAAATACTTGTTTGATTTATTGCTTCGTTCTCTCTTTCTGTCTATACACAAAGAATACGGCACAAGAACAAGAATAGTTTGAACTTGTACAAGTGCGGCAAAGTGATCAGAACTGCTTGATCATATATTCAGAATTCATATAACACTCGACGATTGGATAGCCATGAACAATTCACTTTTTCATTAGACAACTACTATTTAAATGTGTCTTGTTTGCTTAATGTACTTAGCTAATTAGAATTTCGTCACTTTTACCCTCTCCTTTTTGTTATTCAAAACAACTTCTGGCTATTGGCAATCGCATAAAAAAATGAAGACATGTACCTGGACGTTAATTGCATTTTTCGGACTAAGAAAATAAGAGAACAATTTAAAGGCATGATTTCTACAAGGTTTGGTTTTCCCAAGATAACAGTGTCAACAAAAACTGTATAGATACTTCACGTCTAGTTAACTATTGGAACAAAAGCGGATAATATTTTCCACTAGCTCAACTGAAGTTCGTTTCAAGATCAGTATAGGTTTTCAAACTATTGTGCAGGGAATACTTTTCTGAGCAAAAACAATCTTCACTTTCATAACAAAAGATTGAATATGCTGCCAAAGGCGACTGTGTCATTGAGATACGTGTGGGGTTCAAGCTTCATCCAGATTACGGTAAGTGAAACTCACGAAGGAGTCTTATCACCTGATACACTCCGTTTGAGTTCACATTTTACTCACAGATAGAGCTCATAGTGTAGATAAACGTCCTAAAAGTGTTTTTTTTTCCATTCCACCCTTATCGTTGAGTTACGATCATTTTACTGAATTCTTCCCAGTCTATTATCGGGCATTATGAGTAAAGCCAAATCAAGGAATTCCAAATTGAAATTTCGTCCAAAAATAGATCTCATGAGTCATGAAATCTATTTTTGAGTGTGGATATAAATCAGCGAAAGGATTTTGAGCTGAAGAGTATTCCAGCGAAAATCAATTCCGCGAACTGTAAAATCAGCGAACCCTTTTTCCACGAAAAAATTGCAACAGTGAAATGTAAACAGTGAAATATTTATTTTTAACCAAATAGAAAATAACATTGAATCAGATTTAAGAAATAGAGAAATGTAATACGTAGAGATCGAGTTATAGGAAGGATGTGAGTGTGGGCGATACTAAGATTCTTTCCTACACCACACCCACACTCTTGGTTAGCTGAATGAAAAGAAATGAATGATGCACGTATCCGCGTCATAGTATCGCATACGGACAAATATATATTTAAAAAAAAAAGAAAAAATACATTAGCTGATCGGAAAGAACAGAATGAGCAAGTGCTACCGCTTACGTACAAACCAGAGCTGCCGGCCTGGCCTGCAGGCCGGACCATGTTAAAATGATCAGCTTGTCCATGTGAAAATTTTAAAAAAATTTAACGATTTAACGAAAAGAAGGCATAACATTTTTCACTATTAATATGTGCTAAACGCTCTTTTTAACAAATCTCATTTGTTAATTCAAGCTAAACTGTTTCTGTCCAGTTAGAATGTGTGGAATTTCGTTAAAAACCAATTTTTAACGTGTTTTCAGATATATAACTGTAATATCTTTTATCGTGAAATCACAGAATACTTATTCACTTTTACTTGAGTGGCTTCCTAAGTTTTGAAGATCAAATATTGATGCATGGTCTTATTATTCGAAACTGATTTAATAAATTCATGCGATTCTAGCGGTCAAAACTTGTACTGAGCATTAATTTAGTGTTATAGGATCTATATTCACTCACAGAAGAGCTGGTTTATATTCAGAACAAAACAAATGGATAATAAATTTTGTGATCGTGTATTCATAAAAATTGATTCTTAAATAAAAATCTCGTTGCCTCCCATCATAAGTAACACTTATTGCCGATATTTTTGTTCTGTGTTTTCTTTACCTATTCATTCTACCCCTCGTCATATGTTGTTTAGTTATCATGGATATATTTTTTCGAATAATACAGAACAGATTTGCTACAATCGAAGGCATTGTGTTAATTGAAGCCTTTCTCGGACGGTGTGTGGGTGTCAAAAAGACCTAGACAGATTGACATCCACTCAAATACTATAGAAGTATCCTTTCTTCAAAATGACCGACTCCAACAGTTCTTAGCATGTTGAAAAAGAGACCCATAAGCTATACAAAAAGATGTTGACTCACTCTTGAAAGCATTGTTTAGGCTTTTCAACAAGTTCCTCACTACACTTAAATAAAAATCAGTATAAGCTATGCAAATTCATATTCAAAAATGACGCAAAATCTCGGTCCCAACTCGCAGACTTTGGCTCATCGGAGATGCTTTCTACACAGTCAAAGGTGAGCACATATATTGTATAAGAAACTTTTAATTACCCGCCATTAGTTTGTTATGAAACGTTATGACCGCTAGAACCTAATTGAAACTAATATTTACTATATTTTCTTTGCTTCGAAAGCACATGAGCTCCACAAAACAGTCAACGTATATATCTTAAGCGTTTTATTGTAAAAGCTAATACATTTCTATATTAGTGAAAAATATACATCTTTCAAAAATTTCACCAGAAAGGCTCTAAGATCAGTAGGAGCACTCAGCATCATTGGCTACACCGTTGTTACAAAGTGAGTTATAGAATTTAATGAATTTGAAAAATCAGAGACATCAATCGGCCTGGTTTAGCCTGAAGGTCAGGACAGGACAGGCCGCTCTTTGGTTTTTGGCCTGGCCTGTTGGCTAGGTCAGGCCAGGTCAGGCGGGAAAAAAGTGGCCTGTTGGCATCTCTGATACAAACCCATGACAATAAGTCACCGATAAACATAAACAATCAAACCTTGTGAAGAAAAAAAATTCGATGAAATGATAATAACGCAAGAAGAAGGATCTAATGGAAAGAACCCTCTCAGGATTTTTATCTACACTACGAGAGTTACCAATGAGCAAAACAAGAGCTCAAACGGAGTGAATTATCTGGCGAAAGGTTCTGTCGTCAGAGTCACCTAGACTTCGACTTGATACTTTGAAAACTTATCATTCACAAGCTTTGGTAAGACTCCCTTCCAACATGAGGAAATCGATATTTTTCCGAAGTGTTCGGATATGTTTTTTTATTCGATAGTCGAAGACGACAGAAGGCCTACTTTTACAATATATGTCCGTCTTTCTAGTAAGTCAACTTCGTCGTCTAGTTATTGATGGTATTCTGGGAGCTTTACTATCTTGCTGACTACGCTTGGTGAATGATTCAATGTTGTTCCCGTAATTACGGTGAACCGGTCTACGTCAATTTGAAGAAGAGTTGTACTCTATGTAATATCAAGCTGAAAGCTGTAAAGACTCAAAGCAACGATATTTTTGCCCATAGTACCGCTATAATCGACGCAACTAACCTGCTAATGCGAACTGTTCAAATATCAATTTCAGTCTCGTTGAAAACCGAATGTGTGTGGATGTAGAGAAACTCATCACACACATATACCTTAATCAGGATAAAAACAATTAATTAGTATGCTATTTAACAAATAATCTCCTTTATGAAGCACCTATTCATCATATGTATACCGAAGACCATCGATTCAAGAAAACAAGTACGCAAAATGGTCTCAAAAGTTACGATTTGTTCATTTTCAGAAAAATTCATGTTACCCTCTAATATTATAGCACAGTGCGTGTTTAGTATTGTTTGGTAGTTAAACAATAATTGGTGTATTATCAATCTCCTTACATTCATCAATATTTGATAACATAATAACAGAAGAACAATAAAATCATAAGTTCAATTCAACAGAAATTAATTCGAATTTTCTCAACTACGATGAATGTAAACATGCAACAGAACAAGAGGACATAATAAATTGTGACATAGCAAATAAAGACGGACAAAATAATAATGGACAACTTGATCAGTATTTCCATATAATTATTAAACAAACTCAAGTCTTTTCATAATCGAATTAAAACAACGAACACAATTGAACAAAGCTATGGGTGTAATTGTTTATGCAGAGAAGTCTCACATCCATATCGATAACCATAGCCATGACCACTCTCATCACTCATCACGCATACATCCACACCTACCCATTAGAGAGCAGCGGGCCCGGGTCTGAAAATTTAGCTTTTGCCGGGTCTGGGTCCAAAAGAACATGGACCTGCAGCTCTCTACTACCCATGCATGCCCACATCCATCAAAAACCACACTCAGGTCAACATCCTCAACCTCACTAATTCGAATCGAACTAAAAAAAGTAATTGTTTGCCTCTGTAGAAAAAATCGCAAATGCACTGAAGAGTGGATTCAAACCACGTTTTTAAAGCTATCTTGCAGAAGATCGTGTCACACTGTTGCTGCACAGAATGTATTGCAACGAGCACCTTGCGTCGCAGTTCCATGTGTCGTTTATTGTCTCACAAAGTGCGATGCATATGGCACATTTTATTTTAGTGTGCAGAACCACACCCTCCTTAAACGCATGTACCTGCGTTTCAAACTGGTATCGCGTCTAAACGCCCAAAAATGTTGCATTTTAGACGCCTTCAGACACGTGAAGTTACATTGCTGACAAACGCTCGGGAACGGGTCAAAAATCAAAAAATGGATATATGGGTTGTCTTTCAATAGCATCAGTTTTTGCTGTTATCCATGTTTTTTATGAGCAACTATATTTAGTGATCAATTGTAAAGAATTTCCACCAAGATAATTACTAATGTCGATGCGGAACTTAATGGTATTCGGTTGAAAATAAAATAAGTCGAGCATGTAAGTAGCTAGCGATCTACGGTTTTCAGCAATCAAAAGAGAAGGCATGAGAACGTCTTTTTATCTGATAATATATATAATAGAATTATCTTGAAACCAATGATTTCTACGAAATATTCAAGAAAAGTATATGAAAATGGTCTGACATTCGGATAAAATTTCGATTTTGACGTGTCTTTTCGATAGATAAACTTCAGATCTATAGTTCAAGAAACAATTTGAATAATTCTCTATTCACATCCTAATATAGAGCAAAATAAATTTATGTATCGATTCGATCAAGTAATATGGAATTTTGTTGATTTCTAAGGAAATTTCCTTAGTTCCTATAAAAATTTCATCGAAATGAGAGAATATTTTCCTACATTTTTTTTTAATGTTTTGTGGAAATTATTGGTTTCAAAATGATTTTGTCGTATATATGATCGAAGAAAAAGACGTCCCTATGTCTTCTCTTACAATTTCTGAAAACCAAGTATCGCTAGCTGCTAACGTTCTTGACTTATCCAATTTTTAATCAAGTACCTTCAAGTCCCACGTCGACATTAGTTACATATATTGTTTTTGCGAATTGATATCCAACATGATTTTTATCAGGTGTTTGAATAATAGATGACCTCGACTGTATAAACTATGATTATATTCATAACAAGTATTGATAATGTATTTTTCTCGCTAAAAATATCATATTTACGAATACCAATGCCAACATGCTATGTAGCAAGTAGAAAAGATAAGACAAATGCCAATCAAAAACCAAAAAGAATAAAATAATTTAGATCAAGCGTAAGAGAAAAGTTATGTTGAAACGAAAAAGAAAGGAATTTTGTCAAATATAACAATATATTTACAGTAACACTGAAGATTATAAAGATCTGATAGTAGATGTCATGCAGAAGTGTAAGAACCAAAAATAAGAAATGAATATGAACCGATTAATCTTGACAAGTTTGCCATTAAGAATATTTGGATTTTTTTCTTGATCTCTGCTCTACTAAAGATGATGTATATGTATCTTATTTCTATCATATGCCTAATGAATCAACATATTGAAAAAAATCACATTTTATCTAGACGAAATATTCAGAATGGATCTATTTACACACATCAATTATTTGATTATTTTTTCCAGTTTTAAAATATTGTTAACGAAAACTCTTCCGTGTCACTGATAACTAAAAAGAAGTTTTTTTTTCTGTGTTGTTTCTATTGAATTCTCAATTTGCATGAATAAATGGTATAAAAATGTATTTATCATTGATCTGACTCACAATAAAAAAATAAATTTCTGATGAACAAAAAAAAAATCACGTATGATTTGCCAATATTTATCACAATATATTAGTCGTCATTGTTGTTGTTTTCTGTTGTGAATATTCTAAAAGCAAAAAAAAAGAATTAAGAAAAATAAAACTTATTAATTATTTTATTTACTGTCTTAATTCATTGAATGAATCAAAATAAATTTGTTCAGTGATATTATTCACAAGAGAATTAATTGATTTCTCATTAGAACTACTATAATTTGTTAATGATCGAAAGAATGATGATGAATTATATCGATTTTGATTGACTAAACTTGTTTGTTGTTGTTCATTATTTTCTAATTGTATTGATTTTTTCTTTGTTTTTCGCAAATATTTTTCATTATCATTGAAATGAGTTTTAGAATATATTTCATCATTTGCTATAGTTGACAATGCATTGCTAATTATAATTTCTGTAAGACCACTTGAGAAAAGTTCGATATCAAATGAAGAAATTTTTTCTACTGCTTGTTCCATAATTGATTGAACAAATTGATCGACATATGAACTTATTGCTTCAAGATGTTCCATAGGATCATAAGATGGAGAACAATTCAACTGTAAAGAAGATGTTTCACTTTCATTAGTTGAATTTTGATGATTAATCTGTTTGAAAAAAAAAAAGATTAGGAAATTTTTTCAAATAAGAAGAAAGCACAGTGAGTAACATTATAGCATACCTGCAGTAAAGCAGTTCGAATGGAATGTTCAACAAGCTGATTGGCGAAATTCTGTATATCAATCAAATCATGTCGTTGTTTATTGATTTTGGTTAAGCAAGGTTTATTGAGACTGAATGAGTATTGTATATCAAATGTTCTATTCGATCTCGTACTATTAATATTTCGTGATGCTCGACAACTAATTTGATTTGTTTGTTGTTGATAAGACAATAAACGTGTTTGATGATGAACAAAGTCATTTTTTGTTGCCGGTAAAGAACAACGTGGAATAGTACGATGAAATGAGACCTTGCGATTATTTCGATTATTACTTGATGATCGACATCGTAATAAAATATTTGATTTTGAAGTTCGATTTGATGATGAACTTTGAAACATTGTTGAAGACATTTGTGTTAAGGAAATCAATGCACTAGAAATCGCCTGTTGAACTTGTTTATTTGCTAAATTTAATACTTCTTGTTCCATCTAGAAAAAAACACACATCTAACTTTATTATTTCTTTTGTTTCATCAAAATTAATTTGAAGATTTATTAGTTAGTTCAATTAAACGTTGTAATCTATCTTGTTGTTTAAGTTGTTCAATTATCGTATGTAAACGATGAGTTCCATCAAGAAATTCATTAACATTATGAACATTTTCACTAAGACGTTCATCTGTTATACGATTTTGTGGTATATTATATGTTCGAATTTTTTCATTTCGATTTCCACTACCAGTTTGTTGTTTACGTGTTTGAAATAATCGTTCTTGTTGTTCATCATATTGCATTTGATAAAGCCTTAATATACATAGAAAAAAAGCAGTAATTCAACAATAATTAATCAAATTAGTTTATACTTGTTTTTCATTGCTTTAATAGCAAGATTTTTATTTAAATTAAAAAAACGTTCATCTTGTCGTTCAAGAACAATGCCTATAATTTATTAAATTATATTTAATTTATTGAGAATATTACAATGATTTTCTACCTGTTGGTAAATGTGTTAAACGACAACCTGATTCACTTTTATTCACATGTTGACCACCTGGACCCCTCGAACGAATAGGTTCAGCTAATAAATCTTTAGCAGGAAGTTCAATTTTAATCTAAAACGAGAAAGAAAAAATTACTTAAAACATAAATTATTGGATTTATTCTTTTTTGTGTACATCCTTTGGTTGAGGTAAAACAGCAACCGTAACTGTACTTGTATGAATTCGTCCGCTTTTTTCTGTTTGTGGAACACGTTGTACTCTATGTACTCCACATTCATATTTTAAACTCTTAAATACATCTAAACCATTTATAAATGCTTTTCCTTGACGAAGACCACCTGTAATAGAAAATTATAATTATTGTATTGTATAGATTCGTGTTTTTTGTTTCGATTCATACCAATATCAGTTTTATCATATTCAACTATTTCAACCGACCATTTTCGAAAATTAGCATAATTTGTATACATTTGAAATAATTCTTTAGCAAATAACATTGCTTCTTGACCACCAACACCAGCTGTGACTTCAAGTTCAGCATCATCATTATCAGCAGGTGCTTCTGGTAAAATACGATCTAGAATCTAAGAATAATAATGAACAAATTCAAAGATTCGAATAATTATTAGTCACTTCATTATCAATTGAATTTAAATTTGTTCGTAAACGAACAAGTTCATCCATAGCCATTTGTGAAATGTCATCATGATTATTTTCTACAAAAAAATTATGAAATGAATTTAAAGAAAATATTTATTTTTTATGTTTTTTTTCCAAGTCTTTTTAAAAGAATGATTTCTTTCTCGTGACCCAATGCTAAGTAAATACTCGTAAAAAGCAAAAGAATAAAAGAAAAAAGAGAAAAAGAAAAAGAAATTTTAGATAGGAAACCAAATGACTTTATTAAAATAGTTAATAGAATGAAATTTTAAAGCATTTATTTTATAGAATATTTTATGCATTATAACTCGATGCTTCTTTTGAGTTAGACAAGTCTATTAATAATCTCCTTATTTCACATATATTAAATTGTTCTGTTCATATTTTAAAAGAAAAATCTAATTAGAACAAACAAAAACAGTACTTCTAAATATACTTTGAAAAAAAAAACAATGTTCACACAAAATTCAATTTTGTTTTTCTTCAAATAGAAATTCCCCTAAGGCAATAATCAGCACGTAGATCCTTCATGTGACCGAGTATGAAAATTTGTATTATAAATCGTACTATTAACTATTGAATTTATCAAATGATCTATCAAACTATATTTTAGTTCATATTAATAATCAAATATAGTTTCATGAACTAGTAGTCCCTATTCATGTTAATTATGATCATAATTAAATTGAATAGTAACCTAGAAACAGATTAGAGATATGACAATTACTATAAGAGTAATGTCGATTCATATACTTCACAGTAGTAATTATGCATTAGAAAATTGAAGATGACAGATATTTTCTTAGTTGTCAAACTTTTTTTATATCAACCAATTGTTATATAGAAATTTTCCATGTCAGAAAGAAATCTTTTATATCAATATAATAAGATATATAAAATCATCATGATCCTATTGCTTTACCATTCGAAAGTTTCTTTGTTTCATCAATATCTTGAGTAATTTTTTCACGTAATTTCATTGTTTGTAAAATTGTTTTAAGATATTGAATTCTTTCAATTGGATTTACATTTTCATTTATTTGTAATTGATCTAATTCTTTTTTATAATTTATTGATAAACGTTTTATAACATTATCAATAATTGAATTATTATTTGTTGTTAATGATCGTCGAGAAAATACTATAAATGGTAAACGTTTCAAACAAATATTCCACATTTTCTAGAATATAATATTAGATAAACATGTCAAATGACTTAGTTTGACGATCAGTTCTTCAATAACTATTATGTTAATCTTGAACATATACATTTTTATTAATTATTATTCATGTATCAAAAGAAAAACGATTGAACAATGAACAATTATTAGAAAAGAAAAGAAATAAATATACAAACATATTGATTAATGCACGTTACTGACTACAAAGTTAGAATGCACATTATTAGATACTTCACAATCTTTGAAAAAACTGTTCGATTGAGAAACAAGAAAATAAAACAGATTATTCTTTTTTTTTTTTGAAGGCATCTGTTAAACATGACATCCTGCACAATTAAGAAAAAGAAACATCAATACGCGATCAATTTGAATCGAAATTCATATTTACATATAAATTTAAAATGAAAAAGCAAACATTAAAAAACCGATAATCATCAATCTGACGAGCATCCGTGTCTCCATTCGAGAATAACAATACACGAGATTCTTCAATGGATGTTATATTGTACAAAAAAAAAAGAACATCTATCACCAAGCATCCGTATATCGTATATCGCATTCTTGTAAAGCAGGTAGTTTTTCCTAAATAAAATATTATCTCGTTGTTTCTTTTTTTATAAATTAAAATATTATAAAATGTATACTTTTAAAGCTTCAAATGTTACTGGGGACAAATGTGTAGAATTCAGATTTAATTTTCTTAACATTTTCATACCTAGAAAAGAAAACCAATGGATAAAAATTACTAAAGAATAAACCATGTTTATAAACTTACAGGACAAATAAGTTAGGCCTTTATCCGTTACTTGTGTTTCACATAAATTAAGTACTTGTAATCGATTTAAATGTTCTGATATTAACTCTAAACCTGCATCACCAAACTTAAACAAAAAAAAAAAACATAAAGTGTCAAACATGTTGTTGTTTTCAAAATTAGTTCTCATTTACCTGTGTCGACCATAAGTTTAGATATCGAAGTGCTGGTAATTTAATTAATTGTTCAGCACAAGCACTCGTGACATTTGTAAATGCTAAACTTAAACATTCAAGATTACCAAATGAACCACTAGATAATAATTTTGCTAGATCATTATCTGTTGAACGTGATGGTAATGTTAATTTTTTTGGTCCACCTTTTTGTTGTAATTCTCTTAATGCTATTTGTCTGTCGCATACTTTTGCATACAATTTTAAACCAATTGGTGTAGATTGTAATGTTGATATTAATTGTAATTTATTGTCACGATTTTCTACAGCATCTAAATCAAGCATAGCACATAGAGCCTAAAAGAAAATTTTTTTTTTTTTTGTCACAAAAAAATAAACGATTATTTAATTAATTTTACTTCTAATGAACTTTGATTTTCACGTAATGCAAGTAACATTAATGCTGGTAATAATTTATTAATACTTAATAAAAATCGTTTTTTTCGACAACAACATGAAATTAATTTACTAAGCTAAAAAAATATAAAAATAATAATTTTGTCTTTTTTGTGTATCTATTTTCAATTTAATTAAACCTACGATAAGAGAAAACATTTCACCATCATCATCACATGCAACACTACCCAAGCAAAACATTTCAAGCCATCCTTCTTTTCCTTCTCGGATACCTAATACTGTTTGATGAACTTCACATCGAGGATCATCAACTAAATTTTTAACAACATTTTTGAATATTCTATGTCAAAGAAAATATAATCATTAATAATATAATCTGTAGAAAATGTTTGTTATTTTTTTTTTTTTAATCAAGAAAAATTACTCTATAAAATGATCATGTGTTAAGGCTTCGTCAGGAAATGGAATTGATTGAAGAAGTAAACCAAGTTGTGGCCTCCAATCATCAAATGTAGACCTAAATAATTACGAGAAAGTTTACATAATGTTATGCATATTTTCAGCTAGGTATGATTAAACGAGTATAAAATGTAGGTGATAAATGCAATTAAACAGAGGAAATACTTTAAGTTCTTTTTTTTTATTTTTACATTTAATATTAACTAATAGATATGCTGCGTGATCAAGCAGAATAATAGAATTATTAGAGTAATAGTCCTTTCACATTGAAGTAATAAATTGATTACAAGTCTATGTAGAGAATGTCAATCTTTAATTCTATATTAGACTTATCTATGATAGAAAGAAAAAATTCTTATTTTAAGCCTAAAGTAATTATTAATGAAGTTGAAAAAAAAATTTTTTTTTCTCAAGTATCACTTGATTAATCTTATGATTTTATCAATGAATTATTTCAATTTAATAGTTAGATAGATGAGTATCCAAAAAATAGCTCGAGTACGAATAAAGTCATGACTTCTAGAATATAACTACTAGTGAAGTGTTTCAAAAAAAAAAAAAACTCAGCGAAGTGTAAAGTCAGCTTTACCTAAGTGTAAAATTAAATGTAAGAAACGTACATGTGAAATTAGCTAGCCAGTGACGCAGCCAGAAATTTTTTTTTGGGGGGGGGGGGGCGGCAATAGAAAAAAGGGATTTTTTGACTAGCAAAAACGAATTAGCCTGTACCCCCCTCCAGGCATTTCGGTCTTTCAGGGGGGGGGGGGNACCCCATTCCATGACTTGTAGACAAAAAAACCTAGTAGGCATTTATAGAACAATTTATGACTGTTTTTTGAGTAATACGTACGTAGTGCTTAAAATTAAATCAAGCCTAACTTTACTATAGTACATTCAAATGAGCTGAAAATTTGGGGTTTTTAGTTTCGAATGATGACCTATCGAATGCACATAAAAAATCAAAAATTTTATGTGTCACAGCGTTCCTCGGTCCGTATAGAAATACTCTCTTAAATATTCGTTATACAGATCTTGGACCTCAAACGGTATCGTAAATGTCGACATTCAATTTTAAGTCAGAATTGAAAAATATTTAAATTTCACGTTAGAATTCGTGAAAGATTACTATTAGTCTATCAGATATAATACCAAATTAGATCATGTAAACTTTCATGACACACAATCGTTCTACGATTTTCAGAATTTAATTAACTGAAACCTTTGAGGCTGCGGTATTATTTGTGTATTATAAAAAGTATATAATATATGAGAAACGTGGTGAGAAAAAAAAGGATGACCTGACTGACACATGACCTGTCAATGAACGAATCAGAATGATTCATATAAAGAAAAATGGCATCATCTCTGTTCATTATAGCCTGTTATTTGTGACATGAATATTTCTCTTTCATTGTTCTCTCAGACGGTAATGAAAAAAATAGGTATATATATATATATAAATCAACACAATTGAATTGAATGAATTAGGCATGAACATTTCGAACAAGCAACATATCCATATAGTCGATTTGCCCAATGAAATTTTACTTATAATTTTTAACAAATTAAATATGGTTAATGTTCTCTATTCACTTATCGATGTTAATCAACGGTTTGATCAATTACTACTTGATCCACTTTATATTCGTAATCTTGATATGACTTCTATGACGATGAAATCATATCATGATCGTATCTACTCTATAGACAATCAAGTTCTTTCAAGAATTTGTAAAAATATTTTACCTCGAATTCACCATCAAATAAATGAACTCATTGTTGAACAACATTCAATGGAACTTGTTCTTCATACTATCCATTATCCACAGCTTTACTCATTATCACTAATAGATTTTCAAGAAGAAGTACTTCTCAAGTATTTAAGAGGTATAAACTATTTAATATTCTTTATTTTAATTAAGACAATAGTGAATTAATTAGACATAAGTTAATAATCATTTTTCTTTTTTGTCTGTGAAATGAAGGTGACACAATTCTTCGCAAACTTCTGATTGAACAAATTACATGTCTTCAAATTGAAACCCACGATGAAACAATACCATCACCACTTCCCGAAATTCGTTCGACTATGTTTGCTTTGATTTTATCTTTATGTAAACGATTAATCAAATTAAACTTTACTTCATTCTATCATCGATCAACGTTTTATGCTTTGGATTTATCATCAATCGATTGCACGTCTTCAACTTTGACTGAATTAGAAATTTATGTGAAAACTTTCGATGATTGTCTCTATCTACTTGATGAACGTCTCAATTGTTTATCAACACTGAAAATACATGTGGAAGAAGTTGTATATACACCAGAAACTATAGATAACACAGTTAGTATAATTGTCCATTATTGTGTTCGAAAAAAAAACAGTCAACTCAATACAGACATACTTTGTTTCATTTTTTTTATAGAAAAAACTTCTCAAATTGAAACACTTCACATTATGTTCATATCCACGTACATTTGTTTATCATAATCGAATTCTCCCATTACTGCAACGAATGATAAATCTGGAAGAATTGATATTATTTCTTTCCATAATAAGAATTGACTCAAATTATATTGATGGTATTCAATTAAATAACGATATTCTTATTTATATGCCACAATTGAACAAATGCACTTTAAATATAGACACAAGTATAGTTAAGCAGAATATTGGAATTGCTCTTTCATCGAATGAAGATATTCAGCGTAGTTTCATTGGAAGAGGATATGGACAAGTTGGTTCACTTGTTGAAACTTTCTCAGGAGAAAACAAAAGTGGAGGCCACAGCTATTCACTTCCACAAGAGTTCAACAGTAGATGTCACATCTATTCACTTCCATATCAATTCAAAAGTTTTTTTTATTTAAGCAATTCTTTTCAAGGTGGCATGTTTGATAATGTTCAATGCTTGATGATGACAGACATACAACCTTTCGAGGATTACTTCTTCAAAATCATCTCTCACAGTTTTCCTGTATTGAAAAAGTTGTATATATATAACAATGAACCGCAGAAAGAGAAGCAACAATCCATGACATTTATCACATTTTCTCATCTTATTTTACTCAATCTTTATTCCGCTCATGCAGATTATGCTGAACAATTTCTCTTTGATAAACACTGTCATTTGCCTTGTTTGCTGAACCTTTATATCGGCTATAATTCACTTGCACTGGTCACAAACAATTTCACCAATGATGCAACACGTGTCACCTGTGGTAAATTGACCTGTCTTCAAATAAAGGAACCGTTTGTTCCTCCAAAAAATTTTCATAAATATTTTCCTTTATTGTAAATATTATTTCTGTTTAAACTTAAATCATGTACTTTGACTGGTTAAGTGAATATGTCTCTTATTGTCCAAGAAACTGATGAAGACTGATAATAAATTGATAGAATTTTGATCGTCTGGTGATTAATTTTCATTCATTTTTCGTTTATGTACCATTATTTTGTTGTCATTTTTTCTATGAAATAAAACATTGATAATAATTGAAAAATAAAAATAAAAATAGAATTTATTTACATAAATTAATAATGTGTGATGCAAAAGTAATGAGACAAATGTTGTCCTATATTTTTTCTTGATCAAAAGGAACTAAAAGAAAAATTTTTTACCAGAAGATAAAGCTTTTTTTCCTCTTTCGGTTTGTACATAACTTATTTTTATCACACGCTTATGAATGAAATGACGCAACAGGTGAGGGAAGCACTCTCACAGCAAGTTTGCATTTTTCATAGAATTCAGAATAACGATACAAAATATCAGCTCCTGTATCGCTTCGATAAACATGTTTTCAAAGGAATATTTTATTATCATCAGATAGGAAAGGCGACTATAAGTTACACAGTGAGTTTTGATTACAGAACGGGATATATATAAGTTTGCACAGAAATACTTCCTCTTTCCAATAGTGTATGTATTATCGAATTCTATTGCGTATACCATGAAAGGGTGGAATTGGCTTGATTTCAACTCAAAATTCACCCTTTTATGGTACGCAATGGAATTCGATAATATGTACACCATTGGATAGAGGAAGTATTTCTGTGCAAACTTACATACATCCCGTTTTGTAGGCAAAACCTTATAGTCGCCTTTTCTCCTCTTTCAAACTGTATATTATTTATATGAATCAAACACTAAAATAAAATGTTGCAATAAAAACCAAAAACATTTGCGCAAGAATTTTGCGATTTTTATATAGACTAGTTAGTAACCAGTCAAACGAGTGATCGGCGATCGTTCGTGAATGATCTTTCATTGATCAAACAGTAGAAAATCCGTAGCTTTTGTCATAAACTCCATTTTGAGCAGACTAAAAACGATAGAAATGGCTGATTTTCAAGCGTAATCAGAACCAATGATCCCATATTATGAAAGAAAATGGATACCAAAGTTTCCGATGCGATCTTTGAAATAAAAGACCTTTTCATAACCCAAAAATAGTCACTTCTACAGATGTCTAATCATATGTTATTACCATGATGATTCCTTTTTTCAAAAATAATTTATGGTAGTTATGTTTCAGTTGTGTATAGACAAGATAAACAGAAAAGTACGGAAAATCACGGACGGTTGAGATTGACAAAAATTTCAATTAAATTGAATTTTTATGTCACTCAAGACTAATGGCTCATTTTTGACTCTTTCTGTACATTCATAATGAGATGATTTCGGGTGTGGGTGTGGGTGTGGGTGAGGGTGTGGGTTTATTTATTAATTGCATCTGCACCCACACCCACACCCTCCCACACGCACCTACACCCGGACCCACACCCACACCCACACCCACACCCATATTTTCCTCAAATTGTGAGCCTATAAACAATCTTAA